TTAAACGCTCCACCGTCAGACAGAGGAAGGATTTAAATGCAGAAACGGACAGGAAGTAGAAACAGAATAAACGGCTGAACTTCCTCTCACCCTCCCAGGATGGCCAGGAACGGCCTCTGAGGTTTCTCCAGCGCCATGGCGAAGTAATCCAGCTCCTTCTTCATGAGGAACCCCGCCGCCTTCTGGGGGAGGTCCACCCCCACCATGGAGCTGAGGGGACAGGTCAGAGGGTTAGACAGGTCGGGTTTCCCAGGATCGTCACAATGATGCGCTACGTTCCCCTGTTTCAGCAAAGAAAACCGGGACTTGGTTACCATGACGACAGAAACCAGAAACCTGGAAGACGATCAATTTGCTGCATCTGGCATTTTTCTACGTGGAAGGAAGCTGCTGTGTAACCCAACCAAAACTAAAATCACCATAAAATACATTCAGGTGTGATACTGAAAGGCCACTTCACCTGCAACATCACCTGGATTTACAGCTCAAACAACAAAATGTTTCCATTTCCAAACCCAACTCTGGAAAACAACCAAGACATCGCAGCTTGAAGACGGCGTTTCCTGCTGAGCCTCGGCTCACCTGTGAGCTCTGTGCGCCGTCCCAAACGCGTCGTTGACGTAAACGTCGCCCAGCTTGGACAGAGACGCCCTGAAGGAGTCCGTCTGTTCCTGGGTGGCCTTGGTCTGAAGGTCACAGAGGATGATGAAGACCACGAAGAAGAGAGAAAGAAGGAAGGAGACAGGTTTCAGACGTAGATCTGCACTTGGAGAAATCGAGGCAGAAAACTCAGAGCGCCGCTCAGTGAAACTGAAAGCAAAGCCAGGTACTGATGGGCCAGACGACAGAAACCTCGGCACGTCCACCGAGGAAACCAGACCAACCCCGTGTTGGTGCGCCTGTCCCTTTAAGGAAAACCATGCGACTGAATCACTTCCTGTGTCGATTGGATGCGACCGCGCCAAATTGTGTTTATGAGGGAGAAACTGTGTCGACATGTTTGTGGGTTTTGTTGGATGGAGACACTTTGTGTTAGTTTAGGGTTTATATGCAGAGAGGAAGGTTTGACCTGTGGGATCAGTTTGATCTCAGAATAAAGTGAATTATTATTCTGTTATTTCCACTTTTGATCATTTTTCTTTCAGATTATTCCAGTTCCTTTCTATAGAATATTTGAGTTAGTTTACAGGGATGAGCTTTTATTTACACTGTAGATGAAATGTAGGATTTACAGTAAGTGGAGCTCTTCCATGATGCTGAGGCTTCACCGCCCGGCAGGAGGGGACGAGCCGGTTAACGACATGTTCAATGATTACTCAACATATTGCTGCTCCTGGTTAACCAGTTTGACAGTAGAACGCTCCACTGACCTTGTTCCCAGCCGGGTCTTTGCCCTTGCCCTCCTCAGCAACGTGGAAGCGGAGATTCTCCAGCAGGATGACGGAGCCGGCAGCCGGGCTGGAGCAGGCCGCCTCCACCTCCGGACCCACGCAGTCCTTCAGGAAGGTCACGTCCCTGAGGAACGCCACACACAACCATCAGTCCTAAGGAAGGTCACGTCCCTGAGGAACGCCACACACAACCATCAGTCCTAAGGAAGGTCACGACCCTGAGGAACGCCACACACAACCATCAGTCCTAAGGAAGGTCACGACCCTGAGGAACGCCACACATAACCATCAGCTCCCCTGCTGGGTCTCCCTGCAGCTTACCGACTTTGGACCAATCTGAGAAACGTCAGAACAAACAGGAACTGGACCATTTGGAGTTTCTTCCTACTCCTGCTTAAGGGGTCAAAGTTCAACCATTTTAATATTAGATCTAATTTATTCTAACTTTCAGGAGAATCAAACTTTATTCTGCCTTAAGAAGTTTAGAAGAACTAGAAAAGTTTGAAAATAATTTGCAAACTGAGATCAAATCAGTGCAGGATTTCATTTCCCCACCGTCAGTGGAAACTAAACTAAAATTACAAATTTGCTCAACAGAAATTGAAATTTTGGGGGGGGGGAAAAACAACTAAATTTCTTTGATAGTTTTTGCATCAGGATGAGGAGTTTTTCTGAGCTGCATTGAAATTAGTTCATTTTTGAAAACTGGAAACTTTTTTTCTAGTGGAAACCACGAAGACGACGACAGGAGGATGGTGGCGCTACGTGTTTTTTTATGACTTATCGGGTTAAATTTATTCATGTCTGATTTTAATTGTGTTTCTTTATTGGAAACTCATCAATTGCAGAATTGTTTTTATGAGATTAGCAGAATATCATCAAAGTTTTCCTTACATCAGCAGAAACACACAAACTGTTTTGTTACTGCAGAGGTCAGCAACTTCACATGTTGCTGCCAAAGTTTCCAAAAACTGAAAACAAGAAAAACAGTTGCTAAATTTGACACTAGTCACTTAAAAAAAAGTCACTAGGAGTCTTAACAGTTTCTAAATACAGAAACAAAATTGACAAGTTAGCAACAGTCCTTCATCATCTTGGCCACGCCCATCCGTCTCTAGGCCACGCCCACTTTTGTGCCGTTTCGGGGGGCGGGGCTTAGCTTCTACACGTGTTCAGTTACAATTTAAAGAGCAAAAGAAAAAGGTTTTACTATGGCAAGCCGTTTTAACAAATTCGGTTTTACTGCCCTTACATTCCACATATCTCAAACTGTTTTGTCACTAGATGTTTTAGCGACTTAATATATGTCTAATTATATTTTGATTAGACAAAATAACTATTTAAGATATCTCTAATTATGTTTATGACTAGACAAAATACTTATTTGAGATATCTCTAATTACATTCTGACTAGTTGAAATGACGTCAGATTTACCATTGAATTGTATGGAGACTTCAATTCAAGATATCTTAAATGAATTACTGACTATCTAAAATACACATTTCAGATATCTACAATTAAATTATGACTAGTCAAAAAGTGATTTCAAGATATCTCGATTTTGGTTTTGACTAGTCATTATTCTAATTAAAGATATCTCTAATGACTCCATAATTCAAGATATCTTAAATGTATTTTTGGATAGGAGATATGTAGTTTTGACTAGTGAAAACTAAATTATAGATATCTTGAATTGTAATTTTGACTAGTCAAAATTCCTTTTAAGATATCTCTAAATGGATTTGAGATATCTTGAATTACTCAGCTTTTCTATTTAAGATATCTTAAACTGACATTCCGACTATTCAGAATGACATTATTGATATCTTGAATTGGTATTCTATCTAGTCAAAATGTCCCTGACTTACGTAGCAATTTGAAAGTTTAGTAAAACAATGAAAAATAGAGAAAACGAACAAAGATGTTTGAAAATGCGCCACTTTCATGCTGAAAATAGTTTGACAAAAGCAATTTTAAAGTTTCAAAGCTGTTTTTAAGAGCATTCGGTTCGTCGGAAATGAATAAACAGGAAATTATTTGCAGATATCAGAAGCAGTCTTATAGTTTATGAAGTTTTGTTATCTCCACATTTCCAACATTGTCGAGCTCTTTCTAATTTGTGGCATTTACTGACAATTTTGTGCAGAAAACAAAGTTCTACAGGCAACTGTTTGGACACCTCAAAGGGGCTTCCACGTCATTCTTAATTCAAATATCTAAAATTGTAAATTTTATTAGTCATAATTGTGTTGAAGATATCTTAAATCGTAATTACGGATAAGTGTCCCGTCAAATGACAGATCCAGTGACATCATTTGAGATATCTTGAAAGGAATTTTGAGTAGTCAAAATGTAATTGTAGATATATTGAATTATTATTCTTACTAGTCAGAATGTAAATGCATGTAAATGCAGATATCTTAAATTACCATTCCGGATAGTCAAAATGCATTTTTGGATATCTGGAATGTAATTATGGGTAGTCAGATGAAACCGAATTTATGTTAAAACGGCTTGCCATAACGGTGAGGCTCTCACTTTCCCAGCAGAGTCTTGAGCTCAGCAGCGACCGGCTCCAGTGAATACTTCTCCGGCATGGCGTTCCCGTCAGGACGGCCCAGATGGCTCATCAGAACCACGGACTTCGCCCCGCGGTCCAGGCAGTACTGGATGCTTGGCACTGCCGCCTTGATCCTGAGAACAGTTCAGATCAACAGCCAGTCGTCTCATTATGGTTCACTTTGGTTAATATTTGAATTGAAATAAAGAAAAGTTTAACCTCTGGTTGTTGGTGATGTGTTTGTCCTTCATGGGAACGTTGAAGTCGACTCTGGAACAGAACAGTTACTGTAATTACATCGTTTTGACACATTTCATGCTGCTTACTCTGCATTTACATGAATAACACAAAATGTTTTAATCAAGTGTTTCAGCTCGCTCCTCTCAGGAAATCTAGCTGCTCTGCTTCTGAATCACGTGCCAAACTCGAGGCCTGGGGCCAAAACCGGCCCGCCAAGGACTTTTAAGTGGCCCTCTGGACTCCAGACACCAAATAGCATCAAACTCTCCAGTTTTTCACCACAGTGGAAATTCATGCAAAATCAACAGATCCCTGCACAACTAAGTTTAATGCAAATTTTCCACAAAAATGGTCAAAAACATAGAGTTTAAGCAATGCCAACTCCCACCGGCAAAGGGCAGTATTTCTTACTTTACTGCTGCCAACTTTATTTGATGTCAAGTTAAAGTCTGATCGATGTGGAGAGCAACAAAAAGTCACTTTTACTGAAATACTTGAGCACAAATATTTCTTAATTACCTCCACAAAATGTCTGATTTTCACAATCAACAGGACTAGACCACTACTCTGCTCTAACTAAAAGTATCAGAACTAAAACTGGCTGATAAAACCAAGAACTGCAAATGCTGGAAATATTTATCTGTTTTCCTCAACCTCAGAGCAAAATAAACTCCTGCACTCCGTTTTCAGGTTTCTGGCCACGTTTTGGTCCACGGCTGCAGGTTTCTGCAGCAGCCTGCCTTGCTGCTTCGGTCAGGCCCCACCGTGTTCTCCAAACCCATGAAACACCAGCCATGTGGCAGGCTGCTACAGGCCTTGAATCCACTGAAAATGACCTTTTAACGCCGAGCAGCGCTGGCTTTACGTGAACCTTGTCCTATACTGAGCAAACCCTCATGGCCCTCTGACATTTTCACACATGGTGTCGGTTTCAAACACTCGCCTACAGACTGAGGATCCAGTTAAAGACATTTATCCAATAAAACAGCAAGCAGCACATCTAGACAGGGTGCCACTCCTCAGAGGAAAGCACTGAGCCGTCTTTGGGCTCTTTTCTGCTTATCTGGTTCCAACATCACATAAATATAGATTATATGACATAAAATAAAGAGCCAGAAAGCTACAACCCTGTGTTATATTCAAATTTCTGGATCAAAACGTTCTCTATGCATTCACTAAACTTTAAGGAGGAGGGAGGTGCTGTTAGGTGATGAGTTTATGGACAAAAAATGGGAGATGTTCATTATTTTAATGCTTTTATTAATTAAGTAAGAAATAACTGCCCCTTCAGAGCTACCCACGCAAAAAAAAAGACCGATAATGGCAGATCTTTTATAAAAACTTCAAAACTGGTTGAATTTAACGAATTTTGACTTTTTAAATGGTCCTAATCCTCCAAACCAGGACGTGTTTCTGACATTAAATGGCAGACAGAGCAGCATGTTAATGCAGAGGTTTCATCCATTCAGCTTCTCCTCTCAAGCACGTAACAGGGCCGGAAAACGTGACGACACACTGATTCACTTCCTGTGACTCTGCTCGGCTACTGTGAAGCATCACTTTAGAGACTCAACATGCCGACCGGAGAGACATTACTACCGAACTGATGGATACCAGCTAACTGGCGGCTCCTTCCCCATTAGCTGTTGTCCGAGTTGCCGCGGCTACAGGCGACATTAAACTGCCCACCTCATAATGACCCGCTTCCCATTGACGTCCACCTTGTCCAGAGTGAGTTTGTTGGAGAGAGACATGTTGGCTGGTTCGGTTGGTTCTGTCGTTCACCGTCCTGACTGGCTCTTCTCCGCTTCCTCCGGCCGCTGACGAGTTAGCTACCGAATGTCAGTGGTGACCTTAGAGCAGAGCAAAGGAAGAGCGTGGGGGCGGGGCAAATCTCTCCCCCGACATCTGATTGGCGAATACGGTTAGAACTGGTGTGTTCTGATTGGATTAGAGGGATGAATGTCTCCTGACGGAATTCTTCGTTGTTTCTGGTAACCTTACCAGCAGATCTTTATAAAATAAATAAATAAAAACAGCATATCTTCATGTCTCGATGTGATTAACTCAAAAATACTAAAGGTAAATTAAATATTATAATATATATGAATTAAGAATTGTAGCTGTGGCCGGTTTGCTTTAGAATAAGCCTCCGACTATGGAGGACCAAAACCGACAAAATAAGAAAAAAAAGAATAAATGTACACTACTCAAAAAAATAAAGGGA